AAATAAAAACCTAAAATTAGACGAATTGGTTAACGAATATGGAGTTGTATGGATGTAATTGTCATACCGGTTTTTAGTTCTACTGTCATTGTGATTTATACAATTTATGCTAATTAGCCAATTATATGTAAAAATGACTTTTCCAACGTATTTTACACACTCATTCTTTTCTGGAGCATTCTCAACCGTTGCGTTTCAGAAATGTTATGTTAGCAATCACCTTATACATTCGTGCGGCATAGAAACGAAATAAGACTTAACAAAGTTAGCGGTATGCTTGAACAGTAGTCTGTTCTCCTTTATTCGTATATATTAAATGTTTATTATAAAGATCGACTTTACTCTCTTGTTTCAGTAACATCAAGATATCAAGTATGTTATATAAAATACACCTAAACTTATGTGGATGAACCTGAAAACTTTTAGTAGAAGTTCAAAGCAATTCTTAAACGGACTATTGTAATCACCGGGTGTTACAATTGATACTTCCAGATCTGAAATAATTACGTGACACTTTACCCATGGGGGTTTCGTAAGCTTTTTAATACTAATTGGATCGTCCCTACCGGTATAACACGTGTTTCAATTCTTCCTTAAAAGCCACGTAATGCAATTCTCCCTTGACAAACAAAAGCATCAGAGCTTGTTAACAGTGCCTGTAACCATGTAAAACGAAATAAGTTGCACTTTGCATAAGTCTCAACTTCTAGCTCCTACTAAGAGTCCTATGGTACTCATCAAAGTATCTAAGGTTTTTACCTAAACCCTAAGTCTTTCTATCTAAACTTTACAGAAGAATTCATCGTGTTACCCTGTTGAAATTCTAAAAAACGGTTAATTCAATTATTCTTTGGTCAAATACTATAATAAGTTTCATGGTTTAGCCCCTACCAAGGAATGAGTTCTACGAGTTTACCATTAGTTTGCCTGCTTACGCACTACTTCGGCTTGGAGGCGAGCTGCGAGGGCTTTGCGGACTTGAAGGATGGACGGTTCCAAAGGTTCCGGTAATTTCAATTCCTGCTCCCCCTTTATAGTCGCCTGGGCGATTGTTCTAGCGGAACTCGGCCTCGTCGTGTTCATTTCTAACCTGTGGCTTCTCGCCTCCTTTTTTAGTGCTACCAGTTTGTCCCTTCTGGCCTTTAGATAAGCTTGCCTCTTCCTGATATCCTCTTCAGATACCTGCAAAACATTCGACCAAATTAGAAAAAATTCTTTGATAATATTCGTTACTCGAAACATTAGCTTAATAATTTGAATATCTAAAACAATATTATACATTTTCCTCCTCTATCTTGGACTCGTTCGAGTGTATCGAGTCAGGAGGAGTGATCTGTACAACTTTAGGGATTATTTTCAATTCCTCTTTCTCCTCCTCCTCTTCTTCCTCCGCCGCCGGCGACAAGGACCCTTTTTCCGAGCCTCTATCGTCCTGCGAGGCCTTCAGTGCTTCCTCCAACAAGGCCCTCTCATTATTGTATTTCATTGCCAATCGTTCGTGCTCCTTCATCAGAGACGTTTCCGAGGACAGGTCTTGCTCCTCTTCCGGATCGTCCGCCAACGCGTGCTTCCTGCGCGTATTAACCATTAACTTACATGTACGTCTCTGGGCGGTGAAACATGCTTGTCGACAGAGTTAGGCAGAATTTTATTCTAATAATACATAGTGCAACGACTGTCTCGAAGACCGTCTTACTGACACTTTGTAAAAACAAGTTAACGAAAGTTAACAAGTTAAAATTATTGTTTGGTTAGTGTCTATGTATTCGTTCAAGAAGAAATATCATTTCATTATAAAAATTGGAATTTTTTATTAATCTTTTATTCGTTATTCGAAACTCCTTTATCCGGATAACGAAATTTGCCCATCTCTGGTTGGCCGGAGAGCTTACTGAATGATTTCCTCCATAACCAAAATATCATCGTTCGACCCGTCCGGCTCGTACACCAAAGACGCTGGGGTCAGACCGTACTTCTGCTCGATCATATTTAATGCCTGCAGCTGTAGCTCTAAATTCTTCTGCGTCATCATACGCTTGAATATCGTGTACTCATTTGCCGCCCATATTTGCTCGAACAGATTCTGAAACACAACACAGCGACACACGACGCCCCAGGGAAGATAGAGTCAGTCAGTTGCAGACCTATCGGGTCACTCGGTTATCGATTTTCAATCCCTACCTGTTGGAATTGTATCGGCATCCTCGTATGCTTGTTCACGGTACATGCGTGCTCGAACTGCTCAGGCGTGATGCCCATGTCTTCCATGAAGCAACCGAGCAATAAGTCCACTAAATTTTTGTACTCTTGATAGATCTTACGGTAGTCGTCGTTGTCCTCGACGTCCGCCTCAAATACTTCGTGAAAAATTGTACATAAGAAACGCGTTACGTTCGTTTTGAAACCATTCTTCGAGGAACCAAGACCGTTTGGTCTGAACTTAAACCATTAACCTTTACAAGTAAAGTACACGGAATAGAACGAATTTATTCGAGGATTCGGTTAAGTGACCAGCGGGTTAATTTTGTGTAATATAGGATTTTACAAATCTAGAAATTTATTGGGTCGCAGAATCAAGTGCCCTGTTGGAGGTCGCGGCCATTCTGAAAAACAGTGTCCACTGACATTTACGATAATCCAGCAAATGTAAGTTTAAGGATTCGAAAGGTCTACCTGTGCTAAAGAGTTCACAGAACCTATAAACTTGGGTATTCATAGGATATACATGTATAAAGTCTTGAGGGCTACGCAATATCGTCTGTTATACCTGATAAAGTATACGATGAGCGTCGCTATACCTTTAGAGTGGGTGGGTTACAAAGAGTCTAATGTCCCGACATAGAAATGTTCCAACTTACTGAGCGACTTCTCCTCTATGAAGGTGATTAGGGGCGCGGACCAAATCGGACCCTGCAGGAATCCGATCAGTGAGTCGAAGACCCAGGGGCTGTCGTCTTTCTCGTTCATTCTGCCGCGTCACGAGGGGATATCCTTTTGGCGAAAACTATTGCCGAATATAAATTTCGATACGTGTGTGTGTGTCCGTCTTCGGCGAACCGTAGTCATAGTTACGAATAGCAAAACACTTAGCAGACTTGCGCGTGCGGACGTAAGCAACGAAGGGTGTCGACTTGATTTTTCTACTTTATTGGGATCAACGTATTTTATACATGAAAAGTACGAGACGTCAGAACACAAAGAGACACACACTTGTCCCTTTGCAACCGACTCGATACGCAATCTCTTTTTCTCGCCCACGTCACATACACTTCTTGTTCTGTAAAATAACACTCTATGTTACATATTTATAATAATAAAAAAAAAGAATAAGAAACGTATTAACTGTATAAAAGAATCGACGTTAGTGGAGCAGCGACCATTAGAAACAGAAAGATATAAATACCACACACACACACACACACACACACACGTACAGGGTGATTCAGAATTGGTGTCCGGATGGCGTACATGTGTACGGGAGTATTGGGAGACCTCGAATCGAGCAAGAGTGTCACTGACAACGATCCAAGAATTGCTCCAATTCGAAGGCATTCGAGTGTGAGCCGCCCTCCCTGTATAATGTTATGATTCCTGCCGCTCGACCCTTACACCAAGCCCCCAGTACAAGCGGCAATAATCATCGGTTTCAAATCGGCACTAAACTTGCGCAGCTACATACATAAGTTTACACATTCTGTCAATATATATATACATACAAAATACAAGGGCATTCCCTATCAAGATCAAACCTGGTTATCGGCAAAGCGTGCCGCAATCCCCACTCCTCTCTTGCAGGCTTCTATCTCTTTCGAAACGCTTATAATAATTCATACAAAATCGATTGCAAAGTAGAAAAACGCTGATACGTGAAAATATTGTCGTTAACGCTTATGTACAACACTCCCAGTCTCTCTAATCAGTTCAAGAATTATTCAGCCTATGTACATACAAATGAGTACAATGCCTCGGGGCGATCAAGTTAGTGGACTGATGATCAAATTGCCAGTTAATCTATTAGATCTTTACACTTCACCGATGGAGGTTATTTGTAACATAATCCAACAAGTATATTCGGACGTGACAATGTCCTTGAATCAACCAAAAAGTGAACTTTGACCATCAGTTCTAGCGGTGACGACACCGTCATCGAGAGGCGTTGTAATACTCTTTCACTCATTCTCTCATAATCGCTAGTTATCCTACAATTGGAAATTGTGTTGGGAATGGTTCAAAGTGTTCGTAGACATCGTGTGGGCCGGATGCGACGGCGCTGGGCTGTACAGACTATGATGGGAATGGGACTTTCCTCTGGACAGCTCGCTGTACCGGTCCTGTTCCGGCGGAGCGACAAGGAGGACCGGTCTCAAGGACAACGACTTCCGTGATCCAGCGACGCTCTGCGCCTCGTTCACGTATCCTGGGTTCACTTCACCTGGAAACAAAGCAACGTCACTATATTTCCCTGATTCCACGTCTTTTTCGGGTAACAGTAGACCCATAACCTCAGAATCACTCAAACTTATAACAATGATCAGAACTGCCACTAGAGTTTGGGGGCCTGGGGCAAAAGTCATTATCATTGAAAGTATATAATTGAAAACAGATTATTTTGCTTCTCCGTTCCAATTTTTACAAAACGCGGAAGACCCTAAACGCAGGGCCCGAGGCAAGTGCCCCGCTTGCCCGGTACTAAGGGGGGTACAGATGATGATTTTTATTGTATCATATAAATAAATTAATTAATTATTCTACTATGAAGTGATCAGCAATAAAAATAACTTCCATTCAGAGTCGAGACAATGTACTATTATAGTAACCTAAGAAAAAGAAGTTACAAAAAGAGGTATCGGAGAGAGCAGAAATTTTTTGTGGAAGCTGTACCTTTGTACAGGGAGCCGTTGTTGAACGGCTCCGGTTGCAGCCTGACGTGCCTTGAAGCCAGAATGAAAGCAAGTGCGGCCAGGGTGGCGGCGTCCAAAGCGGCGATCGCTGCTAACGGTATCGCCCATCTAACGGCGCACGCCCCTGGATTGTACCTGCCGAGTGAAAAATTGCATATTTATTCGAGACACCTTGGATCGCGTATACATTCAACATGCCGTTGAAAACGTGATCGATCGTAACTTTCGATTTAAAATCTTTTAAAACGTTGCCACACAACTCATGGCACAAATTACATATTGACACGAAACCGATACCTGGACGCAGCTGCACCGCAAACAGCTCGAATTATAGGTGAGTCCCAGCCGAGAGGATAAATACAGACTCCGATGGCCATCGATATCGCTGAAATAAAAGAGCAACTTTTATCAGTTGTCATCGTCGCGCATGAGTTTTTTAATCTTTTTTTCTTTAGTTTTATGATACTATTTCGAGAACATGTCTCTAGTGGACGGGTTAGAGTATAAGTCAGAAGTACTTGTTTTACAGAGAAATAATAATATATTTAATATAATATTTCATATTATAAATACTTCTCTGCAAAGCTAATAATTCTGCGATATACTCTTTTCACGGTTCACCAGAAATACGTTTTCACGAATCACGTTGCAGTTAATCAGTAGAACGCATTCATTAAGGCTGGGACGATGAGCTCTTCTCAAGGTTGCATCGCTATCGTCGAACGGGTGCGTAACAGGACCCAACATTTCGAAGTGTCCCTCTCTCCCATCGCAGATGTTGTACGCGCCGAGAGGTTAACAGTGAAAGGTAGCGGGAACTGTTTGGCTTTTCCTTCCGTTTGTTATCTTTTCCACAAGCAATTCACGGTTTTTTACGCGATTTCTCGGTAAAAGAATAATTTTTTCACACTGGAAGACAATTACTTTGATTGACTTCTGTGCCTATTGTCAACGATACGTGTATACAAGAACAGTCCTTATTTTTTCGATTGATTACAAGTAGTAGTCGCATTTCCCGTTAAGCTAGATTCACATTAGCGGCATGGTACGATCAGATCACGTAAAATCCGGCAGTGGTCTTTATCGCTCACACGTAATCCAAGTAGAAAAATATAGTTGAAATTCAGACTGATCATAACCTGGCCGTACTATTGACCGCTAGTGTAAATCTGGCGTTAAACCGGGCAGAACCAAAAAAAAGGTGAGCAAAAGTCATTTTACGTAAGATGACTGACGACGACCGTGTTGCGGGCAGATGAAAGTTGTAAGACTATCATTGGTCAGTGATTGGCGGCATTACCGGCGATCGCGTTTGTATGCCGCGGCGCGACAGTGAAAGTCACTTGGGTTTCAAATGTGAAGCAGCTGTATACGTTTCACCCCAGAAACGCGAAATTGCGCGCGCACGCGCTTTATGATATATACAACCAATCGTCGAATCGGAAACGAAAGCTTCCTGTTATGCGCGTAACTGCACGCGCTTCCGCAATCGCGTGTCATTAGAAGCAATTCGCGACTTGTATTCGTTCGTTCCTTCCTGAGCGACAGACTTCATTCTGGCAAAAAAGATTGACGTGATCGTTAAGTAACTATATATAGAGCACAGTAACCTCGACGTTTTGAGTGGCGAAAGTTTGGGAGTTCATAGCGTACGTGGGAGCTATAGAAACTTATGAAAATGAAGAAAATTTACGGAAACGGAAGTCGTGAGAATTCCTAAGTTCCAGAAACAATTGGAAACTCCGACAAATATTGTCGAAGACAATACATAATCCACAAATTCACAGAACTTGGGGGTGTAGGAATTTAGAGGATATAGGAATTCCGAGAGCCTAACCTACAAAAGAATTTATCGAATAAAATCCATCGAATCACAAATGTATAGGATCTAGAGTGCTACGTTATTCGTAGAATCTGAAAGCCTAAGAATTGACAGTTTAAAGGCTTTTTCCCTCGATATTTCCGTGACCCTCGTAGGCTGCTTCAATCCCTGTCATCGAGGAAAATCGAGAAACGGTCATACAACTTCGCCGTCGAGTAGCCAAGCGTGACCCACGGGTACACGTAACTTGTTGCAGGGACAAATCATGCATGTCAATGTTCTCCAAGTGGGTCAACAGTACAAGTACTTTATGGACGTAACCGAGTTTAGTTATTTCGGTCATTGTACCGTTCGCTGGACCTTACGAAGCGTCGTTAACGATTAACTCTGACAATTACAATAATGAATCATAGAAATCGGACAAACATAACGATTTGCAACGAACAGGAGAATATTTATAAACGAACTTTCGTGTGCCCTTGTGTCTCTCCTACAAATTAGTTTCGTTCCTGTACGCAGCTAATAAGAAGTTAAATCGAGTTCCACGTGACGAGCAATCATTCTGGTTGAAATTCTTAATACCGACCACTTATGTTAATCGTGACGACGAGACGTTATAACGATCTATTCCACATTTCTTCCTAAACAAACCTCGATTTACGCGGAGCGACAAGATTACAGACTTTCAGGTTCTACTGAATTCATGATTTTCGCGACGATACTTTTACAATGATCACACACCCTGTATGTACGTTAACGGCATTGTTCTGTCATGGATTTCGTAAGCGTATCCGCCGGACAGGAAACGCTTTCTATTTGTGGAGAAACGTGAATTGTTCATATGAATCGCTGGTAGTACAGAAACACAGGACAAACCGCTAATTTTTTTCATTTTACTGCTAACTCACGTAGTCCTATGACTGGGTCACCGCTGACCCGTTCCGAAATGCAGTTACCGAGCTATTTACGTCAGGATTAAAGACTTATCCCTATGGGGCACGGTTGACCCAGCTGTCGAATTTATTCTTTTACCTTACTTGACATATTTAAACTATGTATGTATGTAACTAAATTTCAAACCCGTCAGTTACCGATAACCGACACAGCGTTGAACATGCTAAGGATCCATTTGTGGTCTCCAATTACACCCGCCGTAATCATCAACAAAGATGTCTCTCTGTCGCAACAAGAACTCGCAAACGATTGCATCACTTCCTGACCCGGTGGGCACCCAGCGTATCGCTGTGTAATTTTCAACTGCACCGATAAGGTAGGTATTATGCGAACGATTACAGCAACCGACCGGGTGGTGGTGTGTTGTACACTTTATGACACTTTATAAAACTATGGTCAGACATTCACTATGAATATTCGTTTCTGTTGTTTATTTCTGCTTCCCCCGTCTAAGGAATGACTGTGTGACAAGAATAAAGTGTAGATACACGGAATAATTACCAGATACAACCTGCATCCAGGCGGAAAGGTAGAAAACGGTCGTACTCTGGCAGAAGAAGAACAGAAGCATCGCGCAGATCGTCAGCAAAGCGATGATCACAGCGACACCGACCAGGATCGTGCTCGCCCTGAATGGAACGTTCACGATCGTGGACAGATCGTCCACTCTTCCAATGCATTCTTCCCCTAATTCACCTGTGGAACGAACACAAATCTCTGTTAAGGAGGAAAAATGTCACGAGCGATTGTTTTTAAGGATCGATGAACCCCAATGCTAAGAACTAGTCTTAACCCTGCATCCGGTCCCTTGTGTCAATTTGACACATTTTTCTCCTAAGACATGACGTCATTCTGTCATCTGTAGTTAAATTTAGCTGGGGCTCCATGACTTTTATTTTAAAAAATTTGCAAAATTAACTGTTTACTCCTTTTGTTATATTAATTTGTTTATAACACCGTGTCAATTTGACACAGAGGAACAAATTAAGTGGTAGAAAAGTGAAGGACGAATAAGGTTCAATGAAGATCGATCAGAGAGATCTTTACCATTTCCACCGTAGCTGCATCTGGTCCAGAGGCCAAACCTGCCGGGATTTTCGTGTTCCAGATCACCGAGCCACTCCGGCGTGACAAAAGCGACGACCCCGATGATGGCGTAACATATAGTGAAGATGCCCCATAGGACACCGATCGCCTTCGAATTACGAATGTAATTCGTCGCGTACATATGAGACGACTCCACGTACTCTATCTTCGATCCCATATTCTGATCCTTTCACAAGAAACGCTTTATTGTCATGCGATTGGAATTTTTCATGCGTGGTCACCACGTTTCACTTTGTATTCGATGGCTAATTCCATTGGTGTTCTATTCGCGGTTCTACAAACGTTTTATTAGTATTGTATTTTTCGACATCCGAATACCAGAAATGTGATTGACAGTGTCAATCAGCGCCGGATCAGGGGGGGGGGGGGGCTAAATCTCTCGGGCGAGGCTGCTTCCGGGATACGCATAATGTATATCAAAATTATCGTTAAAATTCACTCGAAGCAGTGCGCAATCGTGATCGATCCTCGTGACGGTTCCCGTGGAATACAAAGTGTTCTTCGATTCTCACGTTGAAACACCGGTGCCCAGCAACGCCCATGACATTTACATCGGAACGTTCACCGATCGTTTCGGAAGGTGTGTGTAGTGTGGAGTGTAAGCCTTCTCTTTCGTTGGGTCGATGCACCAGCGATCTATCGATGCGAACGCGATAAAACGGTCGCCCCGTATATTAAGCCAGTCGCATTCCCTTCCTCGATCTTTCGTGATCGACTTTTGTCACGAGGACGTAATGCGGCCTGACATCACGAAAAGCTTTCGACCGTTTTGTAACGATCGATCAATATCTGCTGATCGACCCCGGTGCAAAATTTGTAAACGACGCGGGTTCTCGCTCAATGATTTCGAGGTCAGGCGAGATCTCGAAACGGCTTTCTAAACTTTATGGGAAATGTGGGATAGATGAAGCTTGGGTAAACTTCCATAGAATTAAATGCATGGTTACTTATTCTTCGACTTATCGATTGCCGCATCGATCATTGTAGTAGATTTATTTTATCAGCTCGCCCTTTACAATGGTAACCCGTCTGGGTTACTGTTTCTGGATCTACGATTCTGTTACTGAATCTTAACGATCGAACTAATTCCGTGGATTTCTCTGATGGGTCAATTTTATTTGTAAAGAATCCATTCCGGTATGCCTTGTTTCTATATTCTTACTGTATCGACTGTCATATTTGATTTAGAGTCAACGATAAACTGACTTTTTTTTAAATAAAGAAATACCTTCACAATACAAATTATTCTCTACGATATGGATTCAAATGAAATATCGGATTATCAGAAAATACAAGAACTCTAATCTTCCGATAAAGCATTAACCAGATAATTGACTTTTCCCTGTATTAGATATATTGGTTTTTACATTTTACCGAACATCCCAGACCATTAATAATCTCCATTCAGCGTAAATATGGATAGACTATGATTTTCTTCTCCATAGGTACTAGAATCCCATAACGATGAACTAACGTACGATGTTTCCATAAACACATCAACACAAAGAATACTATACTTGTTGCATTCTAGCTGTGAGAGTATCAGAACTGGTCCGGGAAATGTGATTCCAACTCAAGTGGTCAAACAGTTGCCGTACGATATCCGTGTGTAGCAATAACAACAAAACTTCCAACCAGATCCCCATCGAGCCTACCTTCGTTTCACCTCTTCTTGCGCCCAATTTTGTTCAAGACACTATCGCAACCATCGACACCGTCTCTCCGATCACCGAATTCCACACAGTGACACTCTCGGTAGTTCTCGAAACGCAACACCGAAGTTTACTCGCGGTCCTGTCAGCACGTAAGTCTGTGTAACTTTGTTTTCCGAAGGTGAAACCGTCACCGAGAGGAATCGAAAAACCGCAACAGACACAACAGCAGCTTTAAACCGTTGCACCGGTTTGCATAGTGGTCGGTGGATGGACAAGTCAACGTTCAACGCGGTTGATGTGGCTGATCACCTCGAGCGAATGGAAAACACGTCTTAAGGAGGACAGGCCGCGAGAACCCTCGCCGCGAACCTCAAGATGGCTGTCCAGGTGAGCCATGCACGCTGATAGGTCTGGAGAGAGAGACGCGTGGAGAGGGAAGAAAGAGACGGGGACTGTGAATGGGGCCTCTTACAGGCTCGGGAGAAAGGCGACATCGCGAAAGACGATTGTGGTGGGGATACCGATTCGTACAGAGCGGGCTTACGCATACATACACATATACACCTGGCTATTATTTCTGTAAAATTATTTCACGAATTACTGGGCGCGTTGTAAATCACTTTATGGACCGGCTAGAATTGTTTCTTGTAAATATTACAAATAGACTAACTTGTGAAACACTTATCTATTCAAATTAGACAAACGTACGATGACATAAGGCACGTAGAATCGTTGTACAAACCGATGTTCGATTATAATATCCTGAATAAATAAGTGATTTTTATTCGTGGTTCCTTGAACAAAGAAAACCGTTTCAACATGAATATGCTTTTTTGGGGGATTTTTATTCGTTTTAATTTGATCGGTTCTTTCGTTTTCTCTAGATCAATTTTTGCATTTTTTGGCAGATTGTAATTGTCCTCTGAAATTATAATTGTAATTTAATTTTACCACTTGTAGTTTCCTTTATTTAACGACCTTGGTTTTTTTGCTTCAATTTTCTGCAATCGCAGTGTATTAATATTAGTTTAATATTAAGCCAGTTGTATAAATATATTGTACATTGTGACTATAAAGGGTAGAAGATGAATTTTGTATTTTCCTATGCCCGGATCCAAGAGTTCTATACTGTTACACCATTATTGAAGTTGTACACTTTCGCTGTAACCTGTTCTTTGGGCGGTACACGGCGTTCTGCATATTTTCATGGTGACGCGTTAACAATGCTGACTGCACACCTCAATTTTATCGCAATCTTTCGGGCTAATGCCCTCTGTAAATCTTATTCCAACGATAATAGAGATTTAATTGAAATTTACACAATGTTGGTCCTGGAATTTCAATTGGAGAGAGAAAGAATTTTTTCTGTATGTAATTGATCACAACCACCTGTCTTTGAAGACAGACTCTATTGTTCTTAAAACGCTGAAGATATAAAGGCACGTTCTTTTAGAAATTTATGAACCATTAGTATAATTCTATCGTTAAGATGCTACTACAAGTTCCACCAGAATACCGTTTCTGAATTCATGTTAAACATACAACTTTCTTTGTTCTGATTTCTACAATTTTGAAAGTCGAGCAGCTACTGATTTATTTGTATGAAATGAAAATGTCGTTAAGAAGACCGGTGGCGCCACCTACGAAACAAACTGTCAAGCTACTTTCCAATTAGTACCATGTTCGAATCACTCGATGGCGCTATCAGGCCGGGAAAATACTTTCAAAACACCCGTGTGGCGCTATCTACGGCCAAAAGTCCAAGCTACTGGCTAAATAATATCGTCTTTCTAGACTAGATGGCGCCATAAGTCCTTTCAAAACAGTTTCATTGCTTGCAAAATAATTACTAAATATTACTTGATAGCAGAGCAATTAATAATTATTATTGTAAAATATTGATACAGTTGATTATAACTATCAAGTTTACTATAATGAAATGCAGTTTATACAATCACAATGAAATGTTTAACAACATACCCTGAAGATGTGATTGTTATAAATATTACATTACCAAAAATATTTCATTTATTGTGGTATAATTTCACGTGAATTGATTAAACTAAAAATTCTGTTCCTAAAACAGTAACAGTCATTGTCAAGGACAATAACAATCAGACATCGATTAAAGATTTCCTAGTCGATTATAAATTTCTACGAATTTCTTGCATACAATTCTACTCAGACACATACAAATTAAATAATATATAGTTAACTATTATCATAAACATGAAGATATATTCGTTGTTTATTAATTTGCAATAAAATAAAATTTATTCCACGTGAAAGTTCATAAAACGCTCCATATCTTTTAAGCTTCAGTATATCCCGATTTCTATCTGTCATAATTATTAACAATTCGCATTGTAAAATGAATGATACAATATTGAACATGTCCCACCGAAGATGTGATTGTTATAAACATTGCACTACCAAAATTATTGTGAAAAATTTCACAAAACTGTAACAGTTATTCTCAAGGACAATATCAATCACACGTCGATCAAAGAATTCCTACTGTTCTGAAAATTTTTATGAATTCCATTTTTAAAACGCTGCCAAGGCACATTTTCATTAAATAATATTTAGTTAACAATCGCCATAAACGTTAAGACATAGTCATTGTTTAATAGTTTACAATAAAGTAAAATTTATTACATGTAAAAGTTTAATAATCAATTTGCATTATAAGACAGATGACAGAATGTTTAACAATATTCCTCAGAGAGGTCATTGTTATAACAATTACCTTATTAGAAATAATAAATTAATCGAGAAATAATTTTTGGGGCGCTGGATTTTCCAGTGCGCTCAATTTTCGCGCACCCGTCGCGTACCTGTACGCGCGAGTTCGCGACCTCGCGGCCGCCGCGAACCCATAAATACGAGCGCGCAACGAAAGAATCTCAGTTCACTGGCGTCCGCGGACCTCGTCGAGGTCTTCTCACAATTGCGAGATTCAATAAAAGACATAAGCATAAGAACATAAGGTGTGTCGAAGTGCACATATTGAAGTGGGAAAAAAGAGAGGGGTACAATGGATTAAGGGAATAACGATAATGAGGAATGAATGTAAAGAAATGACAAACAGATACTGGGTCGGGACAGACTGTGCGAAGAGAGGTAATAGAGACTGTGGGGAAGAAAGGAGAAGAGTTTGAATAAATTTCCGTGTGTGTGAGATAGTGGGGCATAGAATCCCCGGAGCATGCGCAAAAGATCCTGCGTGAGTGATAAAGTGGGGTCATAGAACCCCCGGAGCATGTGTAAAAGACCCCGTGTGTGCGAGATGTATACCTTAGCTATACACAACAATCATCTACTTTGCTGAAAGTTGATATCGAAATAGAGTATATTTAACCTAAAACTGATTTAAAAATGGCAAATAGAACCGTAAAAGACGCAAAATCAATTCGAGGTACAAATCCTCAGTATTTAGTAGAGAAAATAATCAGATCACGTGTATACGATTCTAAGTACTGGAAAGAAGAATGCTTTGCCTTGACAGCGGAGCTTTTAGTCGACAAAGCTATGGAACTGAGGTTAGTTAACATTTGGTGTAAATGTTTTCATTCTCCGTAATTTAAACTATAATCTTCACATGGATAATTATTATTCGCGTTGTGTTTTACTCATGTATGGTTAACGTTACTTATATTGTTAATAATATAAATGTTAACAATGTATATAAACATATCTGCTCTTATGAAAAGGAAATAACATTTTAGGTTTATAGGTGGTGTCTATGGTGGAAACGTAAAACCAACACCATTCCTTTGTCTCATATTAAAAATGTTACAAATACAACCTGAAAAGGACATTATTGTAGAATTCATAAAAAATGAAGAGTTCAAATATGTTCGCGCATTGGGAGCTTTATACATGAGATTAACAGGGTCATCTTTGGACTGCTACAAATACTTGGAACCATTATTTAATGACAACAGAAAGTTGAGGAAGCAAAATAAGCAAGGTCAATTTGAGTTGATTCACATGGACGAGTTCATAGATGAACTTCTAAGAGACGAAAGGAGTTGTGATGTTATTCTACCAAGAATTCAGAAGAGACATGTGTTAGAGGAAAACAACGAATTAGGTATGTCTTCGTACACAATATCTGAGTATAGTTTTAATTCTTTACTCGGATTTGAACAAGTAATGACCAAAATATTTCTTGTAGAGGGAAAGGTGTCAGCATTGGAGGATGATATGGATGAGGGAATAGAAACATCGGAAGATGAAGATATACCACCTGTTAAAGAAGACACGCGTAAAAGAACGGACGATCATGACAGAGACAGAGATCGACACAGAGAAAGGGACAAGAGGCATTCACGATCAGACAAGAAGTCTGATAGAGAAAAACAGAGATCGAGAAGCAGAGACAGAGACCGGGATAGACGAGAACGTAAGCGGAGCAAGTCACCGAAAAGTCATTCCTCGTCGCACAAGGATAAGGACAGAGACAAGGATCGGCATAGAAGGGACGACAGGGACAGAGACAGGGATAGAGATCGGGATCGAAGACGAGAACGTGACAGGGCTAGACACTGAATTTAAGTATTACGATATAAGAAATTTTTTACTGGATGTAATAATAGACGTTTATAATTATCGGATGAATACAAAATTTTAGACGGTACAAGACCTCGAATTCGTTTATCGTGTGTACAGCACTTCGGTCATGATTAACAGGAGCATATAACATTTACAGGGAATAGTTTCATGTTAAAATTATAGTACTTGTCAATAGAAACGCTACACAGTAGCTTACAGTACCTGTACATTACATGTTCCAAGTAACAATATTTATTCTCCGCAACATTGCGCCGTTCGTTCGTTCGTTCTGAAATTATTTCTTCAACTTAGACTCCGTTCAAATTCAGCGATTCTGACCGTATGGTTTTCAGTTCTGTAGAATCAGATGGAATCGTCCAGAGTTAATCTCGTGATTTCATTCTTATGCACGCGGTGAAAACTACCACGTCTGAACACGACCTTAAGATTTACGATGTAAATATTATTTACAAGAGAATAGAGAATATTTATCATTGCAATTGGCGATGAAGAATTACTTCGAAGGTATATTTCTTACACGATATAAAAGGATCCCTTGGAGTGATTTTTTCCTCAACAATACAATGATAAATTTTCTCAAGCACCATGTATTTAAAACAAATTGATAATGTCATAGCCTGTCTATAAATGTAATCTACACGATTACACACGTAGTGTTTTTTAACTATATACATTTCCACATAGTACCTGATTTCACAGTACTTTCGTAATTAAAAATAATGAGCAAAATTAGTGTTGATATACGAGAGAAAAGAACACGAATGCGGCCAGTCTGGCTGCAACTCTTTCTTTCTGTTATTAACAATATTCCATCTGGTAGACATAAATCGTTATCAAACAATGCATTGCACGTCTTCGAACTCTATCCGTCTAAACGAATAACGTTACTTTTTTAAAATACCACCGTTACACATGCTTTTAAAACGTTGGCGAATTTAAAATAAATAATTTTTCTTCTTCCTTTTTTATCCACTTTAACAATTTACTCACTGCCTCGATGGCGTCAGGTTTAGTTACCAGTGGTTCGAATGTAACATATAGTTCGAAACCTAACGTTACCTGAAAAAAGTATTTGAGTGTATTAGGGCTAAAATGATAAAACACATAGCATATATTTCAAATTACCCATGCCAACATGGTCTCCTTATCTAATTGTTGGAATATAAGCTTCAGTGGTCGATTGGGTGCGTGTAGTCTGTGGTGTAAACACTGATAAAGACCCAGCAGTCTGCGAAAAAAAACAGACATATCAAGGTACATGATACCGCGTTACAAGGTCAGGCACGAAATGTATCTTCCATCAAGTATACCGTTCTATTTCGTCGTCCGTTGTATATGGTGGCTGAAGTCCAGGACTCCAAAATTGGGCTGTACTTCTACATTTATACAAAACGTGTCTCATTTCCGGCAATCCAATATCAGCCGTTGTAACCGGTGGCTTATTCATGGACTCGTTGATTGCCTCCAAACAGTTCGTCCGCCTTAATTTTTCTACAATTTTCTGTAAACAGAAGAACATTTCAGTATATTCAGTATCCCCTGGCATCTTATGTAAGATTTAATATGAAGTAACCCACTTGTTTGGCTTCAGACAGTACAAAAAATACATCTCTGTCGACGGTGAGCAGCAGCAGACATGCCTGACAATCCTCAGCTAAATATGACACATGCCCGTGCATATAACCATTGGCGTCGAATTTCGGCAAACATATCGGTGTCCAGCTCTCGGCTGTTTTAAGTGATTCTGAACTGTCGACCAAATTCTGTATTATATGCAAGTCCACCGGATGTAAAAAGAATTTGTTCATTCTGACTAACGTTACCAGTTGATTATTAGCTAGAAGTATTGCAAACACTAAATTCTGAAAAGTGTCATACGAGTCTTATTAGTATGATTTTTACAAAAAAGAATAGTTACTTTCTGTTACTACAGTGAATATGAAATTATATTATACAAGCGTAATACCTTAATTTTACAACATGTTTGAATAATAGTCTGTGTAATGGAACTCCGCATCGAAGGAAGTAAGGGTAAACATTTAATAGCTCCCAGAAAAAATGCTGGTTCCCTATCCATAAAATTTAATAAATGATCTATCAGTCTTTCACTACCAGTTAAGAGTCTCCTCAAATCGAAATTCCTACGCTGATCGTACACTCTGGTTAACTGTGACTGTGTTAACACAGAGACTATCTGATTATATACATATCTGAAATTAAAACAGATATTTCTGAGCAATGTGTAATGGACTGATATTCATTTAATTCAGATATACATACGTTAACTGTAACGTAAGTTGAGGTATGCTTTCAAGTGTTTTTGAGACTGCAACTAAAATCAGTGGACCTTTGACAACAAATACAAAATTGGTATCTCCAGCGTGGACAGATCTAATCATATCACTGCCAGCTTGGATAAATGAAACTAAAGCCTGCATGACACCCATTACTGTGACTAATTTATCTTCAGAACTATATCTAGAGTATATGGGTTTCCCAGCTTGACTCAATATAAATATATGCTTCCTTTGGGCCAGCCATGCCTTGCAACGTAAAGGATCTGAATCTAAGTTGCTCTGCCCTAGTCTATGGGCAACATCATCCTGAAACGAAAGTACTATTAATAAATAAATAAATTATGTGACTCAGAGTTAAGTCACTTGAGAACCAAATTAATTAACCCCATGACAAGAAAAATGTAGAAACCTGATTGTAAGGTTTTCAAATATACAATATGTAACTAAATAACTATCATTAAAGTTATAGTTTTGATACTATAGCATCAAACAAGTTTAGAATTGCTAAAATGAAGAAATTTACAAAAGGTGAAGTTGATCAATTTGGATTCTCAGAGTTCAATTAACTGAAATAACTAATAATTTATGTCCTATCATTTAAAAAAAGAAACAATCAGTTTCCGCGTACGGTTACTATCTTGAAGAACCATCGTTTTAACTTAATTACTCTTAAATCGAATTGTATGTGTAATGTTTCTTGTGGAAGAGGTTATACAACATACTAATTCGGAATCGTCTAGAGAAGTTGTTTTCTGAATATCTCGTAGATCTGTTACGGTCGGTGTCGTTGGAATGTTTTGCGCATCTTCTTGAATCTCAGAAATGGTACTCGTTGTGCTTTCCTTCATCTGTCTATCGTCGATGCTATTACTCATCTCTTGCTCGTACTCCTCAAAACTGTCAGTGGTGACGAGCATCGTTTCTGCAGAAGCACCTGGTTCGATACCGGGCTCGGCGATACCATCGTCGATAGTATCAGGCTCCTTTGCCGCCATAATTCTTTATAGAACACTTCCAACCTGCCACTATTTTAAAACCTTTTCGTGCAATTAACATCTAACGGCTAACCATGACGGATCAGCCGCTGTCAGCCGCCATTCTTGATTGTTCTTGATCTCCGGCTTACTTCGAGCAGTTCGAGCACAACAGCATCTAGAGATGGCGTGCAAAATCACTAACGGTGATTTATGACAGTGATCGCCGAATCACGATCACGGTCGTGATTTAACTTCATTCACGACCGTGATTGCGATTTTCTTATCTTGAGTGAATTTGCTCACTGCGATTGTAAGTTCTTAATCTTTAAACAGAAAAACGTATTCAATATGATTTTACGATGAATTACATTACTATTCGTGTTTGTAAAAATCGGTAGAAAAAACAATAAATTCTAAAAGAATGATTTGCTAGGTACCATGTAGATTATAATTTATAATCATTAATTTATTCATTATTCTTCATTGTTTCTAATTATTCCTTCACTGTATATGATATAACCACCGACTAGGTATAGAATATACCTATCATCCAATGCTTTTTTCTGTTAGACGTTCATAGGGCTTGTAACCCTGTTACCATTTTATTTAGTGTCAATACCCGACGTTACCGATAAAGCATGAATTCGGAGTATTATTAGCACAAATGAAATGTTATATACTTCATTCATGTTGCGTGTG